CATCTCTAATTAACTAATTCATAAGTACTTTAATTTAAAACATATCTTGAACTATTTGAAATTATGAATTAAATATGAGATAAGTACAAAAAAGACTGAAATTTTTTTTTAGCTCACGGCTCTTATTGAATGTTTTCAATTCATGTGTGCCTACTATTATGGGTTATGAGATAAGTACAAATAATTTTGACAACATCTCTAATTAACTAATTGATAAGTACGCTTAATTTAAAACATATCTTGAACTATTTGAAATTATGAATTAAATATGAGTTAAGTACAAATACGGCCGAAAAGTTTTTGGATAGCACGTGATCACTTATTGAATGTTTTCAATTCATGCGTGCCTACTATTATGGGTTATAAGATAAGTATTAATAATTTTGACAACATCTCTAATTTAATAGATAAGTACTCTTAATTTAAAACATATCTTGAACTATTTGAAATTATGGATTAAATATGAGATAAGTACAAATACGGCCGAAAATTTATTTTAGGTCACGACTCTTATTGAATGTTTTCAATTCATGCGTGCCTACTATTATGGATTATGAGATAAGTACTAATAAATTTGACACATCTCAAATCAACTAACTGATAAGTACTCTTAATTTAAAACATATCTTAAACTTATTGAAATTATGAATTAAATAAAAATATTTAAATATTTATTTCTAATAAATTCTATTTCGGTCAAATATTTCTATTAAATTATTTACACATGATTATTTAGTTACCTAATGAGATAAGATCACCCATATACAAACATCACCCATATTAACGGTTCTTATGTACCACTTTTAATTATATAAATAGGTGTAATTACTAATTATACCACGTACATAACACACACCATAGTCTAAAGTTTCACATTCTAATTCCATCCCGTGCATCGCACGGGTTAGTACTAGTTATATATATATATAGATTTCATGATAAATATTCACCATATAAATATATATACATAGTTTTAATTTTAAAAAACAAAAAATAATATAAAAAAAAAATATAGGGACCGAGTCAACCGGGTTGACTCAGTTAGGTCAATGCCCCGAGTCGACCGGGTCAAAGCCGCGTTGGCTGAGTTTTGACTAAGTTTGACTGGTTTCTTTGTTTCCTGTTCCAATTAGCTTAACCGGACGGTCCGGACCGGCTCCGGCTCCGGGTCGACCGGGTCCCGGATCAACCAGCCGGACCGGTCTGGGTTGAAAAACACTGCTTCCAAGTTTCAACCAAGTAGCGCGTGGTACTCATTTTCACTCCCCAGCTAAAAGAGTCCAACTACAGTGTAAAAAATTTGTAAAATAAAAAAAAAAAAACAAAAACAAAAACAAAAACAAAAAAACAAAAAGAAGCAATCGCATCGGAAATCTGAAATCCATGGACGCCCGTCGTTTCTGGGCGGTGGTTCTAATGGCGGCCGTGGCAGCGGTCCCGGCGGCGCGCGGGGTGTGGCTGGACTTGCCGAGCACGGGGGCGAAGTGCGTTTCGGAAGAATTGCACAACAACGTCGTCGTTTTGGCCGATTACTACGCCTTCATTGGCGAGGATTATGACGCGAACAACACCGTCAATCCGTCCGTCACCGTCAAGGTTTGAATTTAATTACCCTTTGTTGCCTCAATTCGATGAGCCTCCTAGGTTGATTTTTTTTAGGTTTCATACTCTGTTTAATTTGATCTTGTGATAGGTCGATTTCTTTGTTTATGAATCGTGGAAGAAAATTGAGTAAGCTTAAGAATGACTGAAACTTAAATCTTCAGTTTTTTTGTTTGTGTATTCGTGTTTTGCAAATGTTTCTGTTCTTTTGTTGGGAAATTTTACTTGTGGCAAGTAGTTGAGTACTGGGATTTAATAGAATTTGTCAATTTGTATATAAATTGGTTGTGACGCTTGTGCATTTTATCGGAATTGATTCATTGTTGCAAATCAAACGAGTATGTGAAAGTTAAAAGTTGACTATATTTGCAAACATAAGTTGAACATTAGTCGATTTAACAATGGGGTTGCTTGTGAATTGAGTGCGTTTCGATTGTGATTAAACGTAGCACATGATGGTATATTTGCAAACACAGAATGTAAATTTTTGTATGCCGAAGGGAAATATTTAAAATACATTAAATTATAATGATTAAAAAATAACAAATTATATTAAAAATAACAAATTTTTAATTTATATTAAAACATTGTAAACGTGTAAATTTAGAATTTGTTAGGATATTGTAAACGTGTAAAATAACAAATTATATTACAACTAAATTAATGGAATAGCAAATGCAACACTTTCATGTGTAAATTTCTAAATTTTTTATTTAGATTTTAACAGGTCATTGTAAACGAGTAAAATTCTAAATTCGTGTGAAATTAGTTACGAAAATTTAGGCATGAAACACTACACGTGGTAGATTATATAGTTATTTATTTCTAGGATTTTTATTTCACCGGATTATACAAATGTAATTTAAATATTAGATAAGTACACAAATACGGCCGAAAAAATTATGTAGCTCACGGCTCTTACTGAATGTTTTCAATTCATGCGTGCCTACTATTATGTGTTATGAGATAAGTACTAATAAATTTTGACGACATCTCTAATTAACTAATTCATAAGTACTTTAATTTAAAACATATCTTGAACTATTTGAAATTATGAATTAAATATGAGATAAGTACAAAAAAGACTGAAATTTTTTTTT